TTTTTTTTTTGGGTGCTGGGGCTGCCCGGGACCCTGCCCCCGGGTCATGCCCGGTCGGTCACCCGGGCGTGTTTCCAGGCACATCTTGGGTGCCCAAGCGCCCAGGAAAACGGCCTAGGTACCAGCACCATTATAATTTATGTTTTGTATTTTCATCCAACGCACCAAATGGCTAAAAGATTGCAAGGATGAAATGAAATCGCAACACATCAGAAAAAAAAAAAAGAAAGTCGCATCGAACATTCCATATGTTATTATGTTCCAATCGGACAGCCCCCTGCAACAAACGTACGTGACGGCCTTCTAAACTGGACAAAATTGGCCATGAGAGCAAACGAAGGCCACCCACATGCACATCCGAGGGCTCATGGTATCCGAGGGAGGTCCGTCACAGGTGAACTGGCCATCAGGGTTACTAATGGCCGTCTGAGGGTGGGCTGCAGCTGGTACACTTTGTGTAATAGGGTGGATATAATTGCATACAAATCTAGGCTACCAGAGTGGCCCTAGGTCCCTTGCCCGGCCGGGCCAAAAACATTTTAATAAATAAATAAATAAAAATTTATGGTTACGCCACAACTCGGTCCATGGACTTGTGGCCTGGGCGCTCCATGAAACTGGTTATTGTACCGTTACACATATCCATCGGAAGGTTCGTGGAAAACTTCACCCTTCCCGTTACACATATCCATCGGAAGGTTCGTGGAAAACTTCACCCTTCGGTAAACACCACCATACCTTCTGGTGTGTAATGCCTTTCCTGCTTTCATCAGGATTGGCACACCATCCCATCGGGCATTGTCGATGAACAACGCAGCAGCAGCGAACGTCGGCGTAATGCTGTTCTTCGGAACGGTCGGGTCATCTCCGTATCCTGGGTACTTCACCCCTCCCTTGACATGACTTTTGTACTGACCGATGACGACATCTTCCAACTTCAGTTTCCGCATTGATCGCAACACTTTCACCTTCACACATCAGACATTCAAAACTCATTAAAGGCCCATCAACACTTGAAAAACATGCTGCCTCGATACCAATCAATCACCGGTAGGCACGCTCACATAACAAACCATACATGGTTCCACATCACTAACCTTAACAGCAAAACAACAAAGCAATCGTTCAGACGAGGGATGGCAGACAGAGAAAGTGGTGGAATTTTCCTGAATCCCAAGACTGTTGAGTGCACATTGCACAATGACTCTGCATCCATCGTGCTACAGGCAGCACCAACACATATCACAGATGAAGTGCATGATCCCCAGATGCATAACGAATAATTCGCCGAAAACTCTAAACAGAAATTGAGCCACAACGTCGAGATCGAAAGACTCTTAAATTGCAACATAGTTCAGAATCTTCAGAATCTTGAGAGCTTCAATAAGGTAGAGACGAAATCGGCCTGCTCAATGGCGTCTGCAACACAACACCATAACGTCTGAGCAGATTTGTGTGCATGGACAGTAAAAAAAAGATAAATAACGACGCGACGACGTGTTTTCCGTCTCTGCAAAGGTCTGAGCAGATGTTTTCTGCTCCATCTGTACGTGCCGTTCGGCAGCAGGTGCCTGCCATATCCATCCAGTTGAATGCGCTCCATGTCCTTCTTTGGAAACAAAGAAGCAGATGCAATCTCCATACAATAATAATAATAATAATATAATAATAATAATAATAATAATAATAATAATAATAATAATAATAATTAAAAATATATATATACTAATAATAATAATGATGCAAGCCTCAGTAAATCCCTCCATATGAAGCTCTGGCACAGTCGTCTCCACGCAACTAGAACGCCAGCGTCTGTCCTTCGGGACATCTGTTAAAATTGGAACGATACAGAGAAGATTAGCATGGCCCTTGCGCAAGGATGACACACATAAATCGAGAAATCGTCCAAAAAAAAAAAAAAAAAAAAAAAAAAAAAAAAAACGCCAGCATCATTACAGCAGTATTCGGTGCACAACTATCAGTGTCGACTCTCAGAGTCTCAATACAGCAAAAATGATAGACCGTTAGTAACCAGAACAGTTCTGTCCAACTTCTAAGCACTTTCTAATCTTTCTGACAAAAGAAACTTGGGAAATAATATGCTAAAAGGTGAGCCGACAAAGGAAAGGTGAATTCATTGCTGTCTCCCCCCCTCCCCCCCTTTCCCCCTTCCCCCCCTCCCCCCCCTTCCCCCCCTGCTCACCTTCTCATTCCGTATATCTTCAGCATCTAGAGTGACTGGAGCCTCCATGCCGAACAACGCCACCATCTGCAGAAGATGGTTCTGCATTATGTCCCTGATTATTCCGTAATTGTCAAAATAACTGCAACGGTCCTCACACACATGGAAACAAACACCAGTATCGTCCAGTCAATGAGGTAGCATCAGAACCTCCCACATAATATATTCTCAATATCTAAAACATCTATCAGCTAAAAGAGTGCACTTTGTGAAACCACCAACAGATAAATATACAGAAGACAGACATGAAGAGCACACGGAACCCGTTTTTTTTATCATTTATTTTAGCTCCCCCTTTACTGTTCGCCACTCACGCACAAGGCTCGCCGCGTTGATGAAGTGGAGCGCGACCTGCCTGCATCCCAGTGAGCCATAACGGCCCAGTTGTACGCTGTGCAAAAGGGGCAGAGCAATATGCCGACAGACGCACATGGCCTGGGGACCACATAATTCTTTACCCTCAAGCATGCTAGACACTCTCCATCTGCCTGTTACAGACTGCAACACAGAACAAGAAGAAGAACTAAAGGAGGACTAATGGGCGAAGAACACGGGGGTACATGGGCCATGGGCAAGATGAGGGCGGAATGCCCTAGTGGGGGGAAGGAAAAAACAAAAGAAAACAAAAAACGGGAGGTGGAGGGCGGGAGGGAAGCGGGGAACAGTTTCACGAACTGCTCTCTCTCTCTCTCTCTCTCTCTCTCTCTCTCTCTCTCTCTCTCTCTCTCTCTCTCTCTCTCTCTCTCTCTCTCTCTCTCTCTCTCAAGTACAAGAACCCCTGGCGCACGGGCGATGGCATGCAGACGCTGACGCGTAGTCGATGGCAAGCGGACGGGCAGGCTGGTGTGTCGAGTTCGGGTGGGCGTGACAGCAGGAGGCGCGAATGTCAAAGTGCAGTCCTGGCAAACATGACGGCAGCATGGGGGGCAGAGGGAGGCACCGGCTGGCGCACGGTGGGGGTAGAGGCCGCCACCAGATCCCACACAAATCTTTCAAAAGGGTGGCCAATCTAGGCCGCCGATCTCATCCAGATCGGCCACCCTTTTGAAACCCTTTGGGCAAGCCTACCAGACCAGTTTCCTTTTTTTTTTTTTGCCCACTGGCCTCCTAGAGACCTTGCAGCACCCCTTGCGGCATTTGGACCTCAGTACACCACCCCCCAGCTGTGATGTGCTCCGTCCGACTGGGGAGGAGCCGGGCCAGTCGACCGGTCGGTCCGGCCGGAACGGTTCCGGCTCGAGGAGGGCCCCCCTCCAGTCGGACTGGGGACCAACTCTGGACCAATCTGAAAAAAAAGACAGCTCCAGCAGAAAGCTAGTTCTGAGCGAGAAGTAGATTATTGCAACAGAGACAAATCCGATGTGATCTCGCGATCAATAGGACCTTGTGATACCAACCGCCCTTGCTCAATTGGTACACCCATGAACTGTTGAAATACAGACCTGAGTTGGAATTCAAATGGAAAAAGAAGAAAAAAGGAACCTTGCGACACAAACAAGGGAAAGACACATAAATACTTCCTCGGTGACCGAAGTAGACAACAGCCAACAGAACGCTTACTCACCCTCCTCTTCCCTCCGTGCCAAAATCTTCAGAAAATATGACCTGCACATTCCGAATGTACTGCCTCGACCATAGCGGCTCAAAGACAAGATTCGAGAACCGCAAAACAGAGAGATTCTCCACCAATTCCTTCCCCAAGTAGTGGTCGATTCTGAATGCATTTCACAAACACAGCAATCATCCAATGTCAGCAGCAATCCAGCACAAGTTCTCTATCATGTCCTCTCTTTCACCTACACCATATACCCGACTGTCCGCTGACCGCCTAACAGCAGCCAACAGACGGCCACGAGAGCGTAACCCAATCGCTACTGAGAGAAAAACAAACATTTCCACTGAAAACAAAAAACAAAAAATGACTCCCAATTGGTATTATAATAATGATGCAACACCAAGATAGAGCTCACAGCAAGGCCCCTTAGCACGTAACAGGGGGACAAGAAACATCAAGACGCAGGAACACAAGAACTATGTTATATAGCGCAAGGACTACATTATAGCGCAAGGACACATCCTCAGGGAACACACAACTGAAGATCTTGAATACGTGAGCTCTAGTTCCACGTTTGAATTCATTTCGCTGTGCACATTTTCGCCACAGAGATTTAAATAGTTCTTTGCGGTTCAGACGCACTCGTTCAATCCACATCTGAATTCAGCGACTACAGCACAGCTTCAGCGAAAAAACATGAGGACGCTACATCAGCAGCAGCAGCAGTTCAGCTTTCAGTTTCCCAGATCCACAATCTGACGTGTCACTCCATCGGAAAAATCCTTTTCTTTTTTTCTCAATCACGGACAACACGATGCGACAAAACGGATAACCTAGAGTGCAAATACGCTTGAAAATTAGAAAGATAAAACCTAATTAAAAAGGCGATGCTTCTGTTCTGTTCACCTGATGCGTGCAAGACACCCTTGAATTCAGGGATATAATATTATTATATTACAAAAGGATAAAACCACCACCACCTCTCGCAAATGGGTCCAACCCAGCAGACAGAGGAGAAAAACACTGACCGTCAGGCCAACGAGCCACGGAACCAACCGAAAAAGAGCAGGCCTCTTGGTACAAGGGGTGGGTGGTTATAACAGACTGCGACTGGATGACTGATTCACAGTTTGTAGTGCTAGGGGACAACCACGGAGACTGATGGAGTGCTTATGCTCACAAGTTGGACGCGTCAGAACGCCAGAAATCCCAGCATTTGCACAGCAATGTGAGCTTATATGTTCATCATACAAAGATGCAAACCATAGAATGTATGCATTTCAGGGCAAACTCGGATAAAGACCTTTTCGACTTGGCTCTGGACGTGATTGGTGTCAGATTCATCCAGGTCTGGCCGCAATTGCAGTCAAATACATTTAGGGCAGGGGTAGTGGAAGCATGCCCTCAAACTGCCAGTACCTCCAGGGCTCATTTTCCCAGTGCTTAATTTTGCCAACCACTAGACTGCCAGAGGGTTGTGTTCGTTTCAGAAAAAGAGGAAAGGGGCGAAAAAAAAAAAAAAAAGCTGCTGTGGAGGTCAGGCCTGGAAGTCACCTGCCAGAGCTTTTTTTTTAACAGGCAAAACTTCTGTTTCTTTTTTGTTATTATTCTCTTTGATTTCTCCAAGTATTTTTCCTTATACAGCGGCATGCACCCCGCATCCATGATATTTTTTCGATTTTATTTTTCATTGAAGGAGCTGGGAACAAAAATTCGCCAAAGTCGGGCCACGGTGGCCGGGGTACTGGTCGTTTAAGACCACAACTGGAGACCAGCGCGGCCACGCCGCAGCACACGAACGGAGAAGGTGCAGAAACAGGTGGGGAGGGGCTGTTGCGTCTTTGAGGATTTGAAATCATGACCTATTTATCACACAAAGGGCGAGAAAAACAAATACCACTTCCACACGAAGTCCTCCCTGGTGTCATTGAGGCAAGCCCTCTTTTATCCTTATTTGAATACACGACTTGTCGACTTGTCCATTCAAAGATATGTTCGTGTAACATTCAGGACTAGAGGCCACTGGACTGACACTACCCAGAATGGATATGGACTCAGCCAGGACCATAAGAACATGTTCTTTTATTATTTAAAATAAAACAAAAAAAACTTTCTTTTATTCTTAAAAAAAAGAAAAAAGGACTAGAGGCCACTGGGTATCTTCCAAACCCATCCATCATCAGATTCATCACCAGAGAACTAAATGAAGCAATAGAAAGAAATGGGGGAGGGCCTCTTGGACCATTCAGGATTTGAATTTCGAAGACATGGCCTATTTTTACACAAAACCGGGAAAAAGAGCTACACGCAAAATCCGGTAGATCTCACCAAGGCAAGTCATCTTTTATCGATGAGGATTGAACGCAAGGCCTGCTTATCAACATCTATGTGTCTGCACCATCACGATTTGAAGTCACTAGATCATTAAACTACCACGCCATCCGGACCTGTTTCCCCGAGCCTAAAATTCAGAGTGTGACTGTGAGGAAAAATGGTTGTGGACCCTTCCTCACAGAGCCTCTACGGGTCGGTCAGTCAATATATCACTGTAGCCCACGATTGTTCCGCAGCCAAACGGAATTGAACCGGTGACCTCGGCTATAACAGCCAGATCCCTTCACCACTGCGATGGTGACCCAGTGTTCAAAACTGAACCCATACCGGCCGTGGCATTCAGCCGACCCCAGCACCATCGCAGCAAGGACTTACACGTCAGCACGTGACATCCACGAGACCCTCCGCAGGCAGCAGCATCCATGCAGAATCCAAGACCCTCCGCCGTTGCCAGCATCTCCCATACACCAGCATCCAGGTGAGCCTGGGCACTGTAGATTTTGGTCCGGTACTTGTAGACAAGAAAAATGAACAGTGCACAGGCCGTTTGAGCGGCTGTTTAACAGCTTGCAGCAGATCGCCATGCCGCAGTGAATAATTTACTCAGGCCTTGTACACCCTGTGCGTCACACCATGGGAGTTTCTTTTGCCCAAAATCGTCTCTATCACAAACCAATGACTTCGATACGTCCACAGTGGCCTTATGCACCACACATATCTCAAGGATGCAGACATGACAAGGGCTCCTGGCATTCACAACATACCTATAAATCTGTTCCTCTGACAAATACTGCGCTAATCCATTCGTCAACTCCGCAGACGAATCCGCATCGCGGCCAAATGGCTTCTCCACAATAACACGAGTCCATCCCTGAGTTGCTGACGCTCCTCTACTTGCACTTCTTGCGACATCAACAAAAAGATTTGGTGGGATGGAGAGATAAAATAGGCGGCTGGCAACTCTTCCTGCCTGCAAGAGGACAATTTGTAACTCCCCCCTTTCCCCCCCCCCCCCCCCCCCCCCCCCCCCCCCCCGCCCGCCAAAATGCAAAAGCGGAGTTTCTTCAGAATACCAGCTTCAGAACTAGGTCAGCAACGTCGTGGGGGTGTGGTGATATGCGATCAAAAGCTGTTTTCTAAGTTGTACCCTGAACTTCAGTGCACAGTTAGCACTACGCAAAGTCGAATATGTGCACGAGAGTGTTACGCAGCTGTCCTTTCGGCCAATGGCAACGAGTAGCACCCTACAAGGGCATGATTCCCACAGGGTCCACGAGCAGAGGACGTACATCGTCTCCACCCATTACACTTGAGGAGCGGGCGGCACCTTGCAGGGTATGATTCACACAGGGCACAGGGTGCAAAAGAAGAGGACAGACAAGAAGGGAGAGAGTGGGAGACTGCAAGGGCATGATTCACACTGGGCTCAAAAGAAGAGGCCAGAGACAAGAAGGGGGGGAGAGAGTGAGAGACTGCAAGGGCATGATTCGCACAGGATTCAAAAGAAGAAGACAGAGACAAGAAGGGCGAGAGTAGGAGACTGCAAGGGCATGATTCACACAGGCTGCAAAAGAAGAGGACAGAGACAAGAAGGGAGGGAGTAGGAGATGAAGGAGATGACAAGATGGAGAAGAAAAATGACATAGAAGGAAAGGGGGTGGTGCACCCAAGCCACAAGAGGGTGAGACGCCAGGCAGCAGAAGGCCCCTATATACAACCTTGGTGTGGTCTCATATTTCATGACTCCGAGGGTGTGGCGGTGCGGCAATTACATGTTGGGCAGACCATGCAGCTCACATTGCATCAAGTATTTACAAAAACCTTGAAAAAAAGAAAAGAAAAGAAAAACAGAAAAGAACCCTGGTGCGTGGTCTAATCAGGGCCTATGGCGGTGTCAAACTCAGTGAGCTGGACAGCCAACAAGGGGTCTTTTTTTAGCAAAGAACAAATCACATGCAGTGGAAGAATCGATCATGTGCCAATTGCCAAAAACATTAGTTGAGAGTTCAAAGCATGCAGAAGGCACCCACAGCCTAACCGGTCCGAACCTCCCAATAAAAAGGACCGACGCTGGGAGGTCATACATACTGGTGCAGGGGTGTGGCGTAGGTACCTCTTGGTCCTTGAGCTTAATATCCAGCTGGCGAAAACTGTCTTCGGAATTGTACTGACCAGAATGATAGAAACATCTCTGCAAAAACTTGTCGATCTTATCTGCACAGTTCTCCCTGCAAAGTCCCACGCCCAAACGAGAGGATCATCCAAACCAGCATACATCTGAACTTTCCATTTACATGCACAGCTTTCATGGTATACACTCCAAAAGCAAGGAAAACATTCTAGAATGATAGAATCTAGATTCATCAGTGTGTGTACTACAGGCAGGCCTCAAGCGTACTAATTGCAATTAATTGCATTGGTTAACGCCAATAGGTGCACAGATTCTTGATCTTTATCCTCCTCCCTCTTCTCCTCTTCCTTGTTATCCGAACAGCTAGACCTTCAGGTATAGCTGAAGCCAAAGGAAATAAATATAGAGTGATTCATTCAGACATGGGGCCTCCCTCTGCTACTCGCCCAACGTGCAAAATGAGAACGAATCTTGTGCTAGAACGTAGTACGATACACCACCATAATTTTTGTCTTTTGTGCACATTTGGTTAGTAGTGGAGATAGGCCCACGCTATGATGATCCGCAATAAAACAGTCGGGTCACACCAAAGATTCGACTCCCTGCCATGCGCACCCGGTGGAAGCAAAGGTCTTTGTCACACCAAAGACTTGTCAAATCTTCTTTGGTGTGACAAAGAGCTGAACTCGTACCTGCTGTCACACAAAGATCTTCGTCGCACTAAGCATTCAGTCAAATCTTCTTTGGTGTGACAAAGATCTGAACTCGTACCTGC